ATGTATAACTGGTCGCAGTCCTCCTGGCACTTAACAGCATATACAATATTGCTCTGCAATAAGTATATGATGGACTCTCAGACTGAAGAAGTCTCTTGGAGGAGAGACGAAACGTTTCATTAAAGAAGAACCCGTCCAGAGGACCTATACAATTTTTTTCCTTTTGATTTTTTACCTGGATTACTGAGATGCATCAGGACATATGTTTTGTTTGAATATATTCTGGGGATAAAAGGGACAGACATTATAAGATTTATTCTTTATCTGCTACCTTTCATTTTATTTTGATTTTTGATTTGTGTATTTTCTTTGGTTTTTTTATTGTATATAGTTATTTTTAATGAAATGAATAATTTTTTTTAACTGAATTGAATTGAATGTTGAAGAGAAGAAGATGATACAACCAATTCCATAATTGAAGTCCAATGTTACCTGGCTGAAAGCAACACACCCAGAACACAAGACCTGTCACAATACTGGAAAAATACCCAGAAAAAAATATCCACACCTTTATCAACTCACACTTAATTTTTTATGCTCGCCATCTTCATCTGTACCCTGTGAAAGAGTTTTTTTACAAGGCAGGAGAACTGGGTTCTAAGATAAACTGCCTTGGAGCAAAGACATTTCAAAACCTTTTGTTCCTCAATAAAAATGCATAAACTAATTAATTTTTAGTGTTTTTAGTATATTAATAGTATTTTATTTCATATGATTTAACACTTAACAAAATTACATACTAATAATTTTAACTCTAAATGTTATTATAGACAAATCTGTATTTTACAACTCAGTTCAGACAAACAGTTTACACAAATGAGGTTTCAAGGACATTTTAAACTCTTCTCATGAAAAACAGCTCAGCAAACAAACTGAGCAAATGAAACTATACAATGATGAGATCATATTTTAAGTAAAGAACTGGTGATTCAATATTTCACAGGTCGATGTTGGGTTTGCAGCATGAAAGCTTTTCRATCTTATTTTTATTTTGTTTACCTGCAATGTTTTTTAACTACTGCAGGGGTCACTATTGAGTGAGCAAACACAGTGTCAACACAGAGCCGACACAGTTTTGAGTAGTGTGTCACTACACTCCTTCAGGTATCATCATCCCATCACTAGTACAATCCTGCAGTTTTACTCACTTCCCTGCTCCAAAACACCTGATTTAGTGATTGAAATACCTCTTCAGGTTCTGCAGACGACTGCTAATAACTCATTCATTCACATCAGGTGTGTTGGAGCAGAGAAACTTTAAATAGGATAGTGAGCATAGGAGACAAGGATTAAAGACTACTTGACTAAAAGATAAAGATCCTTCATTGCATGAAGCAAAGTTAATGAGTCTCCAACTGGTGTTTTACTTCAGTATCTCGTTTACAATAATTGCAGTGCAACATGATAAAGCTACACTTAAGACAAGACTGAAATAAAATATTTAACAGATCAACCCAGGTGATAGAGCAAGTGCTGGATAATTATCACAACCTCTTTCTTTTCTTTTTCTTACTTAAAGTAGGGATGTTGACATTTCGTCAGCAGCTGCTGCCATTTTCTTCCCAAACTGCTGTGACCAGATTTTGTAAGGCTGCTCGGTGCGTTTGCTTGTAATTTCCTCCTGCTTCGGTATTTATACGAGTTTCAACAAACCCCGCTGACATCAGGTAGTTAGCTACAGCCTRGTCTTCCAGTTTTTAACTTTTGTTGATGTGTTTTGAAGAGTCAATTTTTTGAAAAGAAGAGTAAATCACCCGAGTTTTTCTAGTGACCCCTTAAAGAGATAAGCTGCCATGAAGAACATTATTTATCTGCCCTTCTTCCAAATTTGATAATGATTTGAAATGTCGAAGTATGTTTTTTTTTAATCCGGTATAGCGCTTATTGCAAAATGTTTGACGCTCGTCTTCATCACATGACACATTTAACACGCTGTCATTGACTGAGGAGCTTTGTTTACAAAACACATGTCCACCTGGTTTTTAAATTGTTTTAATTTCCTTACTTTCTGAGACACATTAAGTTGACTTGATGCTCCTTTTCTGCTACTTTTGAATTGGCTATTAATAAGTTTTATTAGTTTTTTAGGGTACAAGATGCTTCCTACAAAAACCAGAATGTGAATCTTTTCCTAAAATTGGTGATATCTTGAACACTGAGGAAGTTATGAGCAAAAATTAGAAAACAGCAAGGTGAAAAGGTCACATTGGTTCTGCTGTGAKKTGCAGCAAGAAAACATGAGCTGATTTCACCTAAACAAACATCGATAACTTCCCTCATACTTCAGATAATCACATGGTTTTGGTGTTATTTTGTGTGGTTTGAAATGTTCTTTTGGAATCCGCTGTCAGATTTAATATTGGTGTAGGATTAAAAATTTATCCACATCCCTACTTAAAGGGTATTGTTAAGCCTAAGTTATCAGAGAGCTATCATGTGATTCGGTAAAATAAACCTGTCTGCAGCATAGGGTTGGGCATAATCGTATCGTGTGCAATTAATCGTCAGAAAAACAATTGATTATTTTTTGGCACTTAATTAATACGATTAATGCCATCAGTCAGTCCCCTCGGTGCTCCTCTCTGTTTCAAATATGATGAACATTAAAAAAAGTTCTGTATTTGTCAACACAATTTAAAATTTGATGTACAGCCTGAAGTCTGTAATTTTGACACAGTTTAGAACAGATTTTTATGAAGAGCAAATCTTTACCACTGAATTGGTCATGTGACCAGGACATATTAGCTGATAATTAATAATTATCAGCTAAATACAACAATTAATCATGGTTCATTTTTGCAGCAGCATTTGTTGGACAAACTTGTTCAGGAGACACATTACAGCTGTTGTGTTGCCACACTGTGTATCCAGTAGATATCCTTTCAGCTTGGTATAGATTTGTGTAGTTTTTTAATTAAGTAAAACAACAAGGTCAGTGTATCCAACACGTGCGTCTCACCTGCTAAACCTTTCAGTCCGTCAGTGAAGAGAGACTGGAAGTCTTCGGTGTTTACACGCATCGTGTAGAGACTCCTCAAACAAACTGCTCTTCTGACCACACAAACACCCAGTCTGTGCCACATTTGCACAAACACGAAGCAGAAAGAAGCCACTTGTGTCCAGACACAAGTAAGCTAACTACTAAGCGCCTACTGTCCTTGGTTTTAGCTGTCTCTAAGCACGCGCCGCAGGCTCCGCTGCTAACCAGCAGACAGGCAGCAAGAAACAAATAAAACTAAAACACTTTCAGGAAAGTTAGAAACACACTAGGTTATTTTATGTCCATTAATATTGTTTTTTTTAATCGCCGTTCTCCTAGCACGAAGCGCTACAGGAAAAGCAATAAACACGTGCGCATTCTGACCAATCACYCAATATTTCGTCAAGCCACAGGGCGGGTTTAACAAAACTGCGTTTTGTGTCGCGAGATTTTTATCTTCACGTTTCAACTAGTCTTGGTTTTTAATTAATGCTGCTCATTTGTTCTGATCAGAAAGGTAAACTAAGCTGTAAGTGAATGACTGTTAGATAAACTAGATGAACATGATTGTAATATCAGACATGTCAACATTCTGCTTTATTACGAAATTTATAATTTGCTTTGATCATTTTCTTTTTTAGGGTAAGAAAAACAGCAAATGTTTTTTTTTTTGTTTGTTTGTTTCACAGTTACCAATGTACAGTGGTAAATTTTGGGGAATGTTCCCATATACATTCATAACTATCCTTCTATCTGACTTAATTATTTTGTTGTTATTGATAGATTGATGAATATTAGGAAACAAGCAGTGTTGTGGTTTGCAATGTTGGTACAACTGGATGAAGTTACTGCAGAATGAAATAAAAGTTCCTTTTATGCTTTGAACCTTCAGTCAAAGACACATTATTGACAACTTGTTAATGTAAAAATCCCACAAAGCACAGCCAGAAATATTTAAATTACGTTCCTGATTCCTTCAAGTTGTCTAGCAGGGGTATAAAGTAACTGTATTTATTTATTACTGTATTTTAACAAGACGGACTTTATTTAAAAACCCAAAGGGTTTGTTGTGTCCTTGATGACTGAGAATCTATACACTAACATTATGTTTACCTTAATATGTTATTCTATATGTATTATTTTATCAAATTCCTAATTTGCCAAAAGCGAATGTTGTTTTTCTTTCGGCTGCTCCTTCTTCAGGGGTCACCACTGTGAGAAAACTCACATGACAGATTTGACAACTGTTTTGGATGTCCTTCCRGACAGAGCCTGGGCTCAAACCTGCAGCTCTGACTACCATGCTACTGCAGCCCTTTATTACCAAGAGAATAAAACTGCTTAATACATATGTGGGATAACAATCCAGGGGTCATGTTGTTGTCTTTGCAACATCTAACCACTAGATGGAGACAGTGACTTGACAGGACCACAGTGAGTCAGAACGCTGAAACTGAACTCTTGTCTTGTGTTGCTCTGCAGYATCCTGAATCCTCAGGAGATCTTCACAACCATGACCAGTCTTCACACGTTTGTTATCTGTCAGAATAAACAAACTGCTTCATGTGAGGGAAGTCCATAGTGTTTGTGTTCAATGATTTGTTAATCAGTGACGTGTGCTYAATCAATGATGATCAATGAAGTATTGCTAAAATAATTCACTTTTCACAAATGGTTCAATTTCATTTGCTGCCCAAATCAAATTCTGGAAGTGGTC